GGGATTATTAAAAGAGAAAGAGAGAGGCTTCTTTGTTTTGTAAGAAAAGTTTCTTAAGAGCTTCTTAGTTAAAAGTTCATTAGAGTTTTTTTTCTTTAGAGGTCCTAAATATTTAAAAATTTTTTTTGGTTTTCTTAGAGTTGTTAATAGAGTACTCCAAGCTATAATAAAATATATAAACTACTCCAGTTTAAAACCGGAGTAGTTTATATGTTTTATTATAGCTTGGAGTACTCCATTAATAACCCTAGATTTTCTGCTAGAAGGTACCAAAATATTACAAGTGATATAGCCTTCTTAGTATATCACAAACAACATAAGATACAGAAGAGAGACTCTCAACAGTATTAAAGTGAGATATTACTTTGCAAAGGTAATTCTTTAGAAAGATTATATTAAAGCAAAGAGTATTCTTTATTTATAATAGAATATTGATAATATAAGACTATCTATTAGTATCTGTGCTAAGAGAATTCCAATATTAAGCAGATTGTAGAGGACAAACCTAACTTTAACAGAAGAGGGAAAAGGCAGGGTTTTATATCTTTTTTCTAAATATCTTCAAATATAGTTAAATGTCTTCAAATGTAGTTAAATATCTTCAAATATTTTCAAACATTATCAAATATTATCAAATATCTTCAAATATTATCAAATGTCTTCAAGCATAGTTAAGCATAGATAAATATTAATAGAGATTTCTAAATGCTAATAACTCTATAACTACTAATCTAATTTCTACAAATTATAGCTTGTTATGATCACGAGACTATTCTGATTCTAATAATACTAGTTAAAAATATTGCTAACTTATAAGATAATTTATAAAATACAAATAAAGAATAACTAATTAATAAATATAAAATAAAGATAAAATTACTAAAACTCATTTGATAACAATACTAGTACTAAGATCTAACTGATTAGTTACATACTCTTTGATTGTACTAATGATAGCTAGGAGTAGATAATTTTTAATTGCTTCCTCCTCTACTAAGCTATGAATAACCTAGGAATGTTTTAATTTTTCACTTCCTTCAATAGTATGTATATAATTCTGACTATTTATATATCGTTCAACAAGAACCTTTTGTTCATTTACAAACTGTATAATTCTGATTTTTGTTTAATATAAATCTAGTAAATGCACTTTCATTTTTCTGTGCTTTTTACTTAGAACTCTATCCTTACAAATGCTTAACTGGTTATACTTAGTAAAACTGCATACATATGCTACCTACAAGTTGCTATTATTATAGTTTTAGGAATTGTATCTTGTCTAAGCATTAGTGACAAGAGGCCACTATTCACTATCAAAATCCTCAGCTTAAATCTTAAATAGCTTGTTAATATTAAAAAGAAGTATATGCCTTTAGTTAAAAGTAAGATATGATAATATATATACTTAAGTTTCTTTGTTTATAATAGTATTAAATGTTACTATTTGATTTTCTTTATTTCTAGTATTGTCAATATCTATCTTAGTTTTTATTAATAAAAAAAAAACTGTAAAAAAAAAAAATTATAAAAAAAAAAAATTGTAAAAAAAAAAAAGAGTTGTTATCAAGAGGTACAAAAAAAATATGTTGTTATTATTAATAGGCACAAGGCTTATTTGTGTTGCAGCAAAAAAAAAGAAAATTTATGTTATTATCTCTGAAGCAGTGTTTTCTTAACACTGCAAATAAAACTTAAATGATCATCCCTCAACATTTCAAATTATATAAAAAAAAAAAAAATCGTAAAAAAAAATCAATGCCACTATGTATATTATAAACTCTGAAGCAATATCTTCAAGAAAAACAAATATTATAAAAATAATCTCTCATTTCTTCAATACTTCAAATAGAACAATAGAACTTAAACAAGAAAAAAGAATCTTTACTGTATAAAAAATCATATATCCTGTGATTACCTGATGATCATTAATTATCAGATAATTTTGTGATGTATTTGGCTTTAAGTGACCCTATAAATTAGCTACTGTGAGGCCCAAATAATGTGATCTAAACAAGCTAGAATTGATCATGTTTGCTGTGGATATGCAAATCAGTTGCCAAATATAGATATCCCAGCAATTAATTTAATTAATTCAATTAATTCAATTAATTGAATTAATATTATTTCTTAAATATATCGCAAAAGATAAATTTATTATCAAAAGAGGGTTTAATAATTTAAATAAATAAATTAGAAAAAGAAAAATAAATAAAAATAATGTAAAAACAAATTTATGTAATAAAATAGATTATAATTAAAAGTTATTATAAATAAAGAGCTTAATTGTTCTGAGAAAAAAAAGTCTCACTTGCTTTTAAAAATATTAAAGTCTCAATTTTATTAAATAAATTGCTTATAATATTACATTAGTACTGTATCGCTAACATACTTCTTAAGTCCTAAATTATACTTTGTTGTTCATTTAATCTATTGTTCATGTGACTACAAACTTTCTGAACACTCGTAACTAACTTTGTGATCTAAGTAACTCAAGCCTTAGCATCCCTTAGCCTAATTTAACACACCTCTTTTGAAAGATTACTTACTCTTGGTTATGCAAATTTTTGTATTGTTGAATGACTGAGTCATAGTCATTTCTATATTCACACTACATACAAAAATTCTATTTATAAATTAATTAAATACAATCTATTTTTGGTTAAACACAGAATACAACTATATCACATTATACCTATGATATATTTTCAATTATTATATCATACTTGTGATAAAATAATATCTATTACACCCGTTAGTTATCAGCTAGTGATATAGTTTATTTGTTATACCTTTTTATTTATTATATCTAATACTTTTTACATCTCTCATCTAATTATCTAACTTTTGTCTTCTTATTTGTCACACCTCTAAATTATTTTTTTTTTTTTGTTGTTAAAGCTACTTTCTTAGTTGCTTAGATTTTATTAGTTTGTTATTATGGAACTATTACATGAACAGTTTTTTAAGGTTTTATAATTACATGATAAGTATACAACAAGTCATATATACAACTTTAGTCATTATTTAATTTAAGTAGTCTACTATACAGACAATTAACTATCTGTTAGTTCTATACTATACTACTATATCTGCAACTTGCTTGTGAGTTACCTATTTAAACACTCTGATTATTAATACTTTTCCTTATTTTAAATTAATATTATCACTATATTTGATCATTTAAGCTAGCTAACTTATATGTAGATCTATTTACTGTATAACTTAGGTCTTCTCAGGATGTGTATTGCTTAACATATTGTAAGTACACAAAGTTTTAATTAATCTCAGAAGTAATTTCTACTAGAGTAGTTATATACTTATTTTACAAATTTATCTAGCTTAAACTCTTATCAATATTCGTATAAACTCAGTTCCTGCTGTAGCTTTCTACCAGATATAGTTCTCTAAGTTTTAGTTAGATATTTTACAAGATAGATTCTTCTAATCTAGTTAGCTGCTAAGCTAAGTTGGTGTTGCTATTTGTAGTCAACACCAGGCTGCAAATTCACAATAGTCTTATTTATACCTATTGATCTTATATTTTTTATACTCATATTTTTTATTAGATTAAACATTAACTAGTTTAACTATTAAATTCTATACTACTTCATCAAACTTAAGATTTCTACTATGCAGGTTCTTTGCTTATAGATTCTATTAAGATTTATTTGTACAATATTACTAATTAATAGATTTGATTTTTATATTTAAATTTCCTTTTTCAGATTTCAAGTTTTATTAATATAACTATCAAAGATCATATTATCTTACTACTCAGAGTTTCTACTATACAGATTTCTTGCTTGTAGACTCTATTAAGATTTATTTGTATAATGTTATATTATATTTCTAATATTTAATTGATTTAATATAACTTAATTTACAAGATTATAACCTCCAGAAATAAATAGAGTTGACTATAACTTAATTATAAAAGTCCAAATAATATTTAAATTTTGTTAACAATAGAATTTGAACCATATACCTCTTGTATAACCTAACTACTATACTAAGATCACTAGACCTTTAATATAATATTATAATATTATTATTAAGATAAGATAGATATTTAATTTTTCTCATATTAAAAAAAACTTATTTGCATATTCTATAGTTCAAATAGGTTACAAAAATTATTAAAGAACATTTCCTCTGATTGGTAAAAAATTTTTTGAATAAAAAATTTTTTAATATCACATGATTTTAGTATATAGACAACTTATATTTTTTTTCTTATAAAATAAAAATAAATACTACAATTATATAATTCTTATTTTCAAATATTATTAAAAAATTTTTGTTTAAATATTTTAATTTTATAAAAATATAGATCATAAACATTAATACACGAATTTTCCAAACAAATTTGTTTGGGATACGTTTAATCAAGAACGGAAATTACTAATATATAAAGAAATATAGGTAAAATCAGATTTATCTATTTTTGCAAGTATAACAATGTTTATTTTAATTTATGAAATACAACTAAAATAAAAGTAACATATATTTAATATAATTTAAAATAAAGAAAAATAAAAAACATATAAGTTAATATCAAATATTTATCACTAGAAAAAATTTAAAAGAGCCTATCCAATCGATTGCAATGATAAATTATATATAAAATTTTTTGTTTTTATATGAAATAAAAAAATATTTAATATAAATATTAATATAATACCTCGTCGACTGCATAGTCAATAACTCACATGGCATATATGACAAATTTCAATCGTAATATTCTAAATTTACTCCATTTTGCGAATTATCTTGCCCATCTTGCTCATCTTGCTCATCTTGCTCTAAATATTGAAAAAATTTAAATATATAAAATCCAATTTTTTTCCTTGAAAATATATATTTCTAAAATTGTTACCTTTAATATGTGTACATGTATAAATGGCTTGTTTGTGTTTCTGATAATATAATTTTGCTGGTTTAATTTTCTCAATTTGCGCACTCAATTCACCTTCTTTATTAGCAATATCTTGTCGATATTTTTTCAGCATATCTACTAATTCTTTAGCAGTTGGTCTGGCTTGAGGGTTAGCATCGTAGCAATTCTCCATTAAATCCAAAAGCAACTGAGGAACTTCACATCTGATTTCAGGTCTCTTACCATTACGGATTTCTTTTAATAAACCCACATTATGTGGAATATCATGAAATGGTGGATATCCGGTAAGGATTTCTGACATAATTATTCCAAATGAATAAATATCTGATTTTTGATCATATTTTCCATTTTTAGGCACCTCTGGGGCAATATAAGGAATCACGCCATAAATAGGAATCGCGCCATTAACTTTTTTGTCTGGGTCTTCATCCACTGGCCTACATAAACCAAAATCGGTGATATAAGAGCTAGTTATATCTTCATTAACTATATTTCCGGAATGAAGATCTTTATGAACTAAGTTAACTTCATGAATTGCGTGAAGTCCTTCAGCAATATAAAGCAAGTTTTCTATTTTATTTAGCCACGTTAATTTGGGGAATTTACTATCCAATAATTGTCGTAAACTCCCTTGCCTTGCATACTGCATAACTATCATATAGTTATTATGGTTCGGATCTTTAGTTAAGCCATAAATGACAATTGCTGATTTTCCTCCATATTTATGTTGATTTTCAATCTAGAATATTAATTAGAATAAATAACATAACATTTATTTAATAAATATAAATAAATTTTATATAATTCATACTTCTTTTAAAAATTCCTCATTTATATTTTCAGATTTATAAAGACTTTTTAAGCAAACAATTATTTTTGGTTCTCTCTTCCATTGGCGATCTTCATATCCAAAAATGAATCCATCTTCCCATACTGCCTTGAAAACAACACCAAAGCCTCCATGAGCAATGTACTTAATATTTGTAAATTTATCAAAAGGTATCCATTCAATAATTTCGTTAAATTTTTCTGCTCCGGTTTGGCTTTCTTTAATAAAATTATCAATAAAAACATTGCCGCTTGAAAATTCTTGAAATCTTATCATAAAAAAACATTATATTATTCAACGATCTATAGAGAGTGCTATCGAAAGTCTTTATTAAAATAGTTATAAAAATAAATACCGACTATTGTGGATTAACGGATAATTAGATTGTGTAGTTTAAATTAGTAAGAACTTTCATTTTAAAAATAGGTATAAAGATAAATACCGGCTGGCATGAATTTACATTAATTAGATTGTATAATTTTAGTTAGGGAAATTTTCAATTTTTTTTTTAAACCGCCATAAGGCGTACTTTATTTGGCTAAAAAATTTTTAATTTAAAATGTAATCCTAAATACTCACCACCTGATAAGTATGTGTTAATTGTTAATTTGCATTATTCTTTTTTTTTTCTTTTGACTTGAAATAATGATGCCTGACGAATGACGAAGCTTATGACGAAATAAATTTTATATGAAAATATAAGTATTTGGGCGTAATAAATGTAAGAAAAATTAAAAATGCGATTTCATCATAATAAAGTAAATTAGTTCATGTGTAGTTATTATTATACTGTATCTAGGTTTCTATTTTAAATTACTGTTTCATATGAATCTATGAATCTTTATAATGATGAAATAACAGTAATTTGAAAAAATTTAAGATTCGGAATATTTAGAGGTTGTTATAAAGAAGTTTGTCGACTGAGGTCAACTATATTTTTATATTTTTATTAGTCAAATTAATTTCTCAGTAGTTTCGCCAATAGTTTCGCCACTCGTCAAAAATTCGTCAGACGAAACTATTTCGTCAGGCATCATTAACTTGAAAGGAATTTAAGCTTAAAATTTTATAAATCTAAATACTCACAGCCTAATAGAATGGAACATATATGTGTTGATGTTTAGAATTTATATGGTTTTAAGTAATTTAGTAACTCAAATACTCACAGACTAGTGATTTTATAGATATCGAATATATGTAATTTAGAATTACGATAGAAAATTTAAATTTACAATTCTAAATACTTACTTGCTAGTAATTAGATGTATATTCCGTGTGCGGATTGTTTTAAGTTGTGTTAGTTGTAGGCAATTTCGATTTAAAACATATATAATTCTAAATACTCACGGCCTGGCAAATAGAGCGTATATATAAATATTTAGTGTTATAGAGATTATTTATTTTTAATAAAATTTTAATACGAAAGTAATTTACTCTAAACTTACAAACTGTTGATATGACATATATAAATATTAATTATGATTTTGGATAAATTAAATTTTTACAATTCTCAAAACTTACACGCTAATATAAATATATATATAAAAAAAAAAAAACCATTAGAAATTTAGATTTTATAATGTTTCTGTCTTTATATACTTACAGACTAGTTTTTATGATTTTTGTGCATATGTTTGTAAAGTTATTCTAATTTTAAAATACCGGTAATAAATTTAAATTAAATATTAAAACTAAATACTTACTCCCTAATGATATAGTATGTAAATTTTTTAGTAATATTTTTGAATTAATAAAAATTTCGATTAACAACTCACCGACTGGAATTTAATTAATGATTTTAATGAATTTTTTTTTTTAAAAGATTTGGATTTAAAATATTAATATTCGAAATACTCACCGACTATCAATGTTTAATATTACAGTAAATTTGTGTTGTTATCTATTTAATCATGAGAATATTTTCTAAGAGTATTATACTCACATACTGATAATTTGTACATACATATGTGATTGGTTAGACTATTTTCGAATTAATGAAAGGTTTGATTTAAATGGTTTTCAATCTAAATACTTACGGCCTAATGATGATATTAATTATATAACTATTTTAATATTATTTATTTTCATTTAAATTATATTTAATTATAGATACCTACCGACTGAAATTTTACAAATATTAAGCATGTGAAATTTTAAATGAAACGTTACGATTCTATTGTAAATACTCACGCACTAAAATACAGCAATTCTCGAATTATTATTCATTTTATTAATGATATTTATTAACAAAATACTTACATGCTAGAAATTACGTAAACATATGCATATTTTTAGAGTTGCTTTTTTTTCGAGTTAAATTTTATAGATATAAATAAATACTCACGATCTAATATATAATATGTTGATTGTTTAGAGTTAGTTTATATTTTAGAAAAACGAGAACATTAACTATATTTTGGATGCAATAAGATTTATAATTATAAATACTTACGAACTAATTTGGTCATATTGTTAAATTATTTTTAAATTGAAGAGGTCTTGATTTTACAATTTATATACTTACATACTAATAAATTAGATTGTTTAGTAAAAAAATTTTGAGTTTATAAGATATCTAACAATAAATACTCACTGACTATTATTTTATATATATGTGTGTGTGAAATTTAATGTTAGTAACTAAATTAAAGACAGTTGGATTTGATTTGAAATAGAATTGGATCTGATATGTATATTTAATAATTTACACAGATATCTATATGTAATAATATAATAGAGATATTCTCAATGAGTCCAATTTCTATTTTAAAAAATGTTTATATACTTACGATCTGATAAAGAATTATATATTGATTGTTATTTATCATTTTTAAATAGAATTAATTTTAAGTACTTAGCTTACAAACTGGTAATTTATAGATAATAATTAGCTTTGTTTATAGATATATCATTATTTATGAACTAAATACTCACAAACTGTAATTTTTTCATATAGATTAATTAAAGTAGGTGTTTGCGTTTCAAAAATGTTTGACAAGTACTTACTTCCTAATACCAATTTTTATAATATGAATTAGATTGAAAAATTTTAACTTTAAATATATTTAACTTTACTCACTCTCTAATAAGATTATATGAATACATATGTTATATTGCTTAATGTTGTATTATATTACTTTCAAAATTAACTAAAATACTTACGGGCTAAAATTAAAAATTTTAAAAGATCAATTAATAAATATTGATTTGCAATAAAAATTGGAGATAAATACTTACAAACTATAATTTAGAGTTTTACAATTAAGTTAATAAAAATTTAATATTAGAATGGTTTTTAAATTTCAAACAAATATTTGGTTTTTAATATTTGATTTCAAGTTTTTTTGATCCTATATCATTATTTATAAACTAAATACTCACAAACTGTAAATTTTTTATATAGATTAAAATAGGCTGTTTGCGTTTCAAAAATGTTTAACAAGTACTTACTTCCTAATACCAATTTTTATAATACATAAATTAGATTGAAAAATTTTAAATTTAAATATGTTTGACTTTACTCACTCTCTAATAAGATTATATGAATACATATGTTATATTGCTTAATGTTGTATTATATTACTTTCAAAATTAACTATAAATACTTACCGGCCGCTATTAAAAGTAAAAGGGATAATATTAAGACAGTGAAATTAAAAGTTTTAAAAAATCAATTAATAAATAATAAAAGTTGAAGATAAATACTCACAAACTATAATTTAGAGTTTTACAATTAAGTTAATAAAAATTTTAATATTAGAATTGTTTTTAAATTTCAAACAAATATTTGATTTGATTTCAAGTTTTTTTTAATCTGTTTTCAAATATTTTAAACCTCTTAAATTTTTAAACTCCTCAAATCGAAGGATTAAAAATTTGAGAAACAGATTAAAAAACTTAAAAGATCAAATAACAAACCAAATCCATTCAGAAATTCAAATTTTGAATTTGATTTTGCGTAGCACTAGGTTTTATCATAGTTACTTACTTTCTAGTAATATGTGTATTATTTGGAGTTGTATCATTGCCTTTTAAGTTAACAAAAAATTTTGATTTAAGGTATTTTCAAACTATTTATTCTAACTACTTACAAACTGACGATTTTTCATACGTAAGTAAATCGTTTAACTCTGTTAATAATTTGAATTAAAGAGAATATAATAATGCTTACATTCTAATGGTTTGTGCATTTTTTTCCTTATTATTTGAATTCAGAAAATTTTAAATACAAAAACATATACTTATCAATACTCACGAACTAATATTATGCGGTTTTGTCTGTGAATTAGTGAAAACTTGATTTCAAAATATTTACACAATCCTAATACTCACAGACTGTAATTATGAGGTATTAAACTTAATTAACAAGAATTTAAAATTTAAACATGTTTATGGACTTAAAGTACTTACTCTCTAATATATGATGTGATTTATTGAGTTATTCGCTTGTGAAATAAGAAGATTTGTTTATTTAAAAATATTTTACTTACCTGCATATGCATATATAGATCATTTAGAGTTGTTTTATTTCTTTTGAAATTTTATTTTTAATAAATTTATAATAATACTCACTTCCTGATAATATGTTTATAAATAGCTTTAGAAATGTTATATTTTGAAGATAAAAATACCTATATCTAAATAATTACTTACGAACTTGTAATATGGAATTATAAATATATAATTTGTAATAGAGAAATTTAAAATGTTTATTGCTATAACAGTATAATACTTACTGACTATATGCGATGATTATTTATAAGTTAAAAGAAAATTTAAGTTCGAAATTTTTTATATAAATACTTACAACCTAGTAATTTTGTATATAATTATGTTATTTTTCTTTTAAATTAATAATATTTATTTTATAACTCTAAATACTCACTCTCTAATAACAGTGAGCAAACGTAATAGATTGCTTAGAATTATGATTTATTTAAAATTCTTATGGATATAAACACATACCGACTAGAAATTTATAGTTTTGATTAATAAGTGAGTAATTTAATTTTAAAAAGTTAGTTATAAATACTTACAGACTGCATATTTAAATAGATCTTTAGTTATTATATTGAATTAAAGCAAATTTAAAATAAAGATTTATATGATATAAGCACTTACTCTCTAATAATATAAACGAATTATTTAGATTATAGCATTTAATTTGTAAAAAGTTAAATTTTATAATTCAAAATACTCACTCTCTATAACATAGTGCATGTTATAATTTAATTGAGTTTTGATTTTAAAAATTTTTATTACTTTAAATACTCACCCCCTAAAATTAGATTTATTATTTTTTTTAGTTAGAATTTTAAATAATAAATTTTGACTCTAAATACTCACAATCTGGTGCAATTGGATATATGATTTTTTTAGAATTACTTTAAGTGAAATTTTCGTATAAAGATCTTAACTTACTTTCTAGTAATATGTGTTTGTTTCAATTAGTGATTTTTGATTTAATAAAAGTTTATAAATTTAAATACATACCGACTAGTAGATAGTGAATTGTTTAGATTGTATTTGAAGAATATGAATTTGAAAATGCTTACTTACATGCTGTGATTTTGTGAATAAATAAGTTGTTAGAGCTACGTAATTTATTTTAAAATAAAAAATTGTAATACTTACAGTCTAGTAATTTTTAGTTGATCATTAGGTTTTTGGTTATAATAATATAATCACGTAAACAATAACCCGAATACTCACTCACTAATAATACGTTTATAATTATTTGTATTTGAATTAAGAAAATATTGACTAAAAATATTTATACTAACCGACTACAAATTTTTAGATTTTGTAATTACTTAGTTTGTCTAGATTTTTAAAGTATTTATATTAAATACTCACTTTCTAGTAATATTTTGTATATGTGTTGAGTAGTTAGTTTTAAATTTAGTTTCTAGAAATAATCTAGATACTCACTTTCTAATGATATAGTGTGCATACAAGATGTAGATATTGCTTGCTTTTAATTGAAGTGACTTTAAAATGTATGTATATCTCTAAATACTCACGAACTAATAATATTGATCATAAATGTTATTTTATTTGAACTAAATAATTAGACTTAAAAATTATGAATTTGGATACTTACAAACTAGTAATATAATTGTTATTTTATTTTAACTTATCAGTTATACTAAATAACTTTTGATTTTTATATTCTTAATACTCACTAACTAATAGTATGCGAAATGTTCATAATTGTGTTATAATTTTTTAAAATATAATGAATTTCGAAAATATACATTACTCTAGATACTTACTCACTAGTAAATTTATACGAATATTAGTCTCTGAATTACAAGAAATTTAATTTTAGAAAGTTCATTCCTTTAAATACTTACAGGCTAGCGTTTTGCGTATTAATTGATTAGGTTTATGTTAATTTTTTTGATTCTATGATACCCATTACCCTAGCATCTGACAATATAATCGGGCTTGCCAAATAACTCGAGTTATTTTGCAACTCACATGTGAAAAAAAAAGTCTATTTTGAGTTAAATCAAGTTAATCGGCAGAATTATTTTTTTTTATAATATTAAACAATGAGTTTTTTGGTTCAAAATATTTAGACTAGACCAATTTGATTCGGTGGTTTACGGGTGGCACTTATTTCACCGACACTCATTTACCGACTGAGTCATTTCACTGATATTTTAGCCCGATTTAGGGTTAGGGTTATATTTTCGGTGAAGTTATTGTCGGTGAAATAATACGGTGGTTTACATTACCACTCTTCCTCATAGTAAAAAAAATTTAAATAAGTTGCATAAGGAAGCGGGCTACTTCGGAAATTTCAATTTTTACTATGAAACCCCTTTCAAAGCAGAGATGTAAATTAAAATACCAATGAACTGGGTGAAAATTATGATAATAAGATTTTTTAAAATTGTAACGTAATAGAATCGAAATTTTTAAAATTGTAATAGATTGGAGCGAAGGTTATAATAGAATCGAAAGTTCTTAAACTTGTAATAGACTGGCGCAAAGGTTGTAATAGGCTGGAGCAAAGGTTAGAATAGATAGGAGCGAAGGTTATAATAGGATCAAAATTTTAAAATTGTAATAGACTAAACCCAATATTATAATCGGATCAAATTTTTAAATTGTAATAGACTAAGAGCGAAGGTTATAATAAGATCGTAATTTTTTAAATTGTAATAGACTAGGGCGAAGGTTAGAATAAGGTCGAAATTTTTAAAATTGTAAGTGAAGGTTATAATAGGATTTTAAATTACATAAATTATCGTCAATATAAAAGTTTACAGTACTCGTAAATGCTCGATATCATCAGATGCTGGATAATACCGTTATTAGATGCTGCGCATCAATAATCGTCGTATTTTTGCCAGAATTTGACCGGTTGATGTCTGAGCCCCTATGGGCTCAGTCATCTCTCAGTCAGATTCTGGTTCAAATACTTTCCGTTATTTGTCATGTGTAATGATAATGTTGT